TAACCGACATTGGCGTGGAACGGGGTCATCTGGGTGGAGGTGTGTTGGGAGTTGTTGAATGCGAACTCCGCCAGGGGAAGGTACTCGGCCCAGTTGTTCTGCTGCTGGTTGACGAAGCAGCGGAGGTACTGCTCCAGGATGCCGATGACCTTCTCCGTGCCCCCGTCAGTCTCCGGATGGTGCGCCGACGAGAGACACATCTGCACCTCCAGCGCGGCCATCAGGCTTTTCCAAAACCGGGCCGTGAACTGGGCCCCGCGGTCCAACACTACCCTGTCCGGCAGGCCATGGAGGCGAAAGATGTGCTGCAGGAACAGACGAACCGTGGTGCGGGCGGATGGCAGTCCGCGGCACGGGATGAAATGGGCCATCTTCGTGAGCATGTCCACCACCACGAGGACGGTTGTGAACGTGGCGGACAGTGGGAGATCCATCAGGAAATCCATGGAGATGGCACCCCACGGTCTCTCCGGTGTCGGCAGCGGTTGGAGGAGTCCAGGAGGTGGGCCAGACGCGGATTTGGCCTGTCGGCATGTCACACAGGACGTCACATAAACGTGCACGTCATGCCGTACCCTAGGCCACCAAAAAGTCCGCGTCACCAGGTTCAAGGTCTTGAAGAACCCGAAGTGCCCCGCTGCGGGATTGTCATGGCACTGGCTCAGGACGAGGGCTCGGAGCGGGCTTGTAGGAGTACAGTCGGCCCCGTTGCTTCAGCAAGCCATCCTCCAAGGTCCATGGGGACGCTGGGCCAACTTCCGCTCTCCGCTGCTGTGACCAGTCATCACGGTACTGCGCTTCCCGCACCTGAGCCCGCAGGTCCGCCGGTTCCTGGACCACGGCCAAGGCCTCTGCAGGTAGCACCGTCCGAGGGGGAAGGGGGTCCTTGGGGCAGAAGTATTCCGGCTTGCAGGATAGCGCGTCCGCCCTCTGATTGAGGCCGCTCGGAACATAGGTGACGTGGAAGTTGAACCGGGCGAAAAACAACGACCACCGGATCTGCCGCTGGTTCAACTTCCTGGCCGTGGTGAGGTGCTCTAAGTTCCGATGGTCCGTCC